CCCCCTGCTCTGAGACGTGACTTACGCCCCTGCATACTGGTCACTCAAGTTCTAATTAAAACAGTTCGTATTCTTTTGCTCACAAAAGAATAACTGCTTGGCTTTTCTGGTGTTAGACTATCTATTTGTTAACAAAACGAGTAACCAGTGACCATTCTGTATCTTCTGTCAATACAATTAAGATCTTTTCATGACTATTCGATGGAAATACTTTGAGAAAACAAGCACACTTACTCTCGAAAACTCCACTCAAATCGAAAATTTCCTGTAAGCTTAGGCCATTTTTCTGTCTTTTCTATAAGTTTGACATCGATATAAAATTTTTTTTGTTTAGTATCGATTGATAAGAAATATGCTTCTGGCAGTGTATTGAACTGTTGATGAACAATGTATCCATATGTCGATGTAGATGCTGTTGCATTTTCGCATCTTTCATCAACAAGATTTCTCATCGCTGCCATTCCAATCAATGTTCCATACATCACAGAATCTAAAGCAAAAGTGAACAGATGTGAATCAGTTTCTCGTGTCGACTGTGCATCGTCGGTCTGCATTTTCGGAGGCACACGAAGTTTAGGTGAGTTCAATTGAAGTTTATGCAAAGGTAATAAAGGCAAAACCAAGTCTGTTATTCTGTTCATGAAAAAATTAAAGAAGATAACGTTTACATATGAAATTAGAAAAAATTAAATGGGAGCCCAAACCAACAAAATACTTGTCATCGATTCATAGATGAAGGAGATGTACTCAAGTTTATATTAAAGAATGATGGAGCCGATAATATTTTAGAAACCTTGACAAACATTCTTGTCTCATTGTTCTTCACGAATTGGCTGCAATTATGTTAGAAATTCTATCTGTCATAGTGTTCAACGCTTTGAATGCCATAAAATGGTATTAAGGAATACTGCTTAATGTTACCAGTGAATAAATACTGGTTTTAGATTGTGATAAAGTTACTTCTTAATTTCGTTCAAATACCTATAGAAATATTTTTTTACAGGTAAACATTAAATCCTTTTAATGGGAACCATAAATGAGTACGGTTCGGTTCTTAGTTAAACCGATGCAATATAAATTAGTGTATAGACATGGGAAAAGTGAGCATATCTTCGTCTAAGAGAAACATGAAATAAATAGCCTTAGTAAAAAATCAGATGTTAGGATCTATGATAAGATTCTCCATCTGATTTTGTATGATCTTATTGTATCGTAAGATATGACTCTAAGTTTATAGGAAATTTTATCAAATAGCAAGATCTTTCAAGCATCATACTGTAAGACTTAATGCAAAATTTCAAAGACTACAATTTTTTGTACAATCGTCTCTGGTTTCGTAAGTTCTTATATCTGATTTTTCGACCTGGGAAACCAATAATAAATTTAATGTGGAAAAAGCATTTACGTACTTTTAGTGATAATCAACTAAATAAAATAAAATACAATATAAATGTCTCTCTCGTATTAAACATACACGATGTTATTTAGGTTGATTCTTCATCAAATCCTACAGATGAAATTTGAGAAATTTCTTTCTCGGTTTCGGTTAGCTTTAAATTTTGAAAAATCTGAACCGTGCCCATCTCTGATGGGAACTATCTTCGATTCCAAGTACTTACCTTGAACTTTGGACCGTTTACATGGACTAGATCCAAATATCCTATTCTGTTAAAAAAAGATCTCAATGAACTTTCATCGATGTGTAACGGAATACACCCAACAAATATCTTGTTTCTCGCCGCTGTAGAACCAAAGTCATTATGATGTTGGTCAAATAGCATAATGTCAGATGTCGACGTTTGCGCAAAAGTATCATTCGTGTTAAAGAACGACTCAACTTCGTCCAAATATGTAAAGTCGGATGATACAGATGAACGTGACGAAGTGGAATATGATGAAACATCAAAAGCCAATTGACTTTTGTCAATCTGGTCATTTTGGTCGATGCAATCCAAAGCTTCGAATAAGTTGTCATAAAGCTGTTCGAAATAGTTTGTAGAACTAAGATCAGTATCCTTATCATCGGAACTTGGCGTTTCAGTATCAGATTGACTTGAAAAGCTGCTACCATCACTTCCGCTTGTCAATGTTTCTTCATCCGAATTATCTGATCGATTCCTAGACGGGCGAGAATGCATTGATTGATATTAATGAAATAAAAACGCTTACTGTAATTCTTGTTCTGAGTTTAATTCTAGTTGACTAGCACAGCTTTCGCCCATGATGAAGAATTTTGCTCGATGAAATGATTCAGCATTTCTTTCAACATAAAAGTTTATTCAACCGATCATGTGACGCCTACAAGAATAAAACACAGAACGTGAAAATAGCTTGTTCTTGCTTACTTCTATCACAAATATAACATATTTGCTTTCAATGGCGGCCATGCTGCAGTTTTTCATGCCGTGGAATAAAATAGGAAGATAGATCCTCTCGATAACATACAATGAGTGTGGGTGTGAATGTGGATTAGTGGTTAAGTACTGATATTTTCACAGGCACATCCCACACACAATATCATGAATGCTCAACACTGAGACACGATACATTTTGGTTGTAACAACATTTCAGTCAACTAGAACTGAATTTGGTTTAGCATTACTTGACTTGTTTCGAATAAGAAATAATCGTAAGTCAATTTTTTCAATGATTTGAATTATTTCAAAAAGAAAAACTGAATATATTTGTATTTTTATGAAATTATTAAAGTATCGATCGTTATAGAAAAAAGAAAAAGCACGATTTTTATTTTATTGTAAAATTTGTTAATAGTGCCTGGAATATGCAAACAGACACAACCGGCATTTGGCGAACATCGATCATGTTGAGCAATTTCATGGCATATTTGAGATTTGACTAGAACTAGCAATACACTAAATAGAAAAAAAGAATAAATCTGTAAAGTTTTAAAGAAAGATTTCTCGATGTTCAGCCCGTAGAAAAATTGAAGCAGCTCGCTTCAGAATGTGTGCATGTGAAGGACTGAATGTAAGTTTCACCCACTGGGGTCTGTCCCAGTTGACTCAAAGTTTTTTAAATCCAACTTTGGATTTTGATATTATAAAATACATTTCCATAGTTTTTCCGAAACAGAATTCTTTCTATAAAATTGATGGCATGCCATTTCAATTGAACACAATGAGCCATAAGATTATAAGCGATGTAAAAATATGATGATTGTGCATTAGTATAAATAGACTTTGAAATTGGTTTTCAATTTAGCATGCCACAGTCATTGTCAATACAACCAACCACTTCGAAAATACGAATGATGAGAAACCATTCAAGTTACAATTGTTTTTATCTCAATATTTTATTGTTATGACCTTCATGTATGTTTTTTCATCAAGATATTACACGAAGAAAAAACTGTCAGCAATAGTTACAGTCTGATGAAGGGTAACCTGAGGAAAAAGTGTACGATTTTATTATAGAATCTTTCCAATATAATGCACGTTCTGGAAATTTATGTAACTTTTATATCAGTATTATTGAGTATAAACAATCTAGAAAATAGTTTCTCGGTGAATACTATAAGTTAAAAATAAATGCTTGAATTCACAACTCGTACTTATTACTACTGTTTCCCTTATACCTTCGGAAAGAATGAATCTTTTAATATTTCAGAAGTTGATTTTCAGTGTGAATATTTTTTTATGAAATTAAACTTCAAACAAACATATTATAATACTGACGTGAGAGTAAGATAATATGTTCATCAGTCATTATATGATCATTCGATGTTATCTGATCATCATTGAAGTATTTAGTTATTTTTGAGAAAAAAAGTTGTTCTTTTTTCGTAAAAA